TGCAGAGCCTGCTTGGGATTCTGTCTCTCCTTCTCTCTGCCCCTCCCCCACTTGTGTGGCCTTTCTCTCTCTCTCTCTCTCAAAATAAATAAACTTAAAAAAATATGAAGTAAGTTAAATCTCTGTTAAGCTTTTTAACACATTTTCAATCATAAGGTCTCAATTAAAATGCTTTTAAAAGTATGACTAAAGTTGCAATCTGTGATCCATGATTGGTGAGATCTTATTTTTCACATTCCAAAAAAAAAAAAAAAAAAAAAAAAAAAAAAAAAAAAAAAATTCCATATGTTTTTACCAGCTCATTGAACTATCTTGGCAATAAATAGACCAGCATATCTAGGAATGATTGATACCATATGATTCTTGGGTATCCTATTTTGATGATGCTCTACACTGTTTCCAAGCACCAAAACAGAAACCCACCCGCACATACTAAGCTCAAAACTGGCAGTTTTTGTCTTGATGGCTACAGTACGAGTTGAAACATCATCATTAAAATTTTACAGGTGACATATCAGGAAAAATTAAGCCCACCAGTTGTGTTTCCTTGAAAGGAAAACAGCCCTTCATCACAATGAATGAAATTGTGTGCTAGGTATGAATGCTAGTGACCTCTAGAAAATGAAGCGCTGACCCATAAGTGGATGAGAATCAGCCAGAGTAAACGAGGCAGAAGTTTTCCCGGCATAACTGTGCATGCTGGCAGGGAAGATTCTTGTTATAATTAAAAGAGATAGAGTGGTCAGTAGGGAATGTTTAATAGGAACAAACATGACAACATTGCCTGACGGTTTTTCTGCTCCATTCCTTATCCTCATGTTGCACTATATATCTGGGTTTTAAAAGTGACACATGGCACTGCCCGTAAAAATAACACGTACACTTGTGCAGCAGAACCAAGCAAAAATTCATTTAGAATATGGACACTGTCAACGCCCAATTTACTCAGAGTAAATCTCTAGCTGAGTTTGCACTGTCCAGTTGTGATAGCTATTAGCCACATTGAAATGGCTGGTGAGCACTTGAAATGTGGCTAGTTTGGATGGAGGCGTGCTGTAAGTTAAAATATACACTAGATTTTAAGGACTTAGCACAAAAAAAGTAAAATATCTCTTACGTTGACTACATGTTAAAATGACAGTATTCTGGGTTTCTTGGGTTAAAGAAAAATGTCATCACTATTCATTTCACTTGTTTCCTTTACTCCTTTTTTCTAGTATGACTAGAACATTGAAAATTACATATGTGGCCTGCGTTTATGGCTTACATTGTATTTCTGTTGACCAGTGCTGATCTAAATGAAAAGTTTGGTCAGCGAGGTAGCATTTAGCAATCCCACAGAACCGAAATGTAAATCTGTATTAACTGATGCTGCCTCCACAGCACGAAGAACCGGGTCACGAAGCGATTGATAGTTGGACGAGCTGCCTTTTCCATTCCTCCTACGTTGGAAAGTTCCTTCAATCCAAATGTTTGCTTAATAACTTTTCTAAGGGGAATATGAGAAAGGGAAAAGTTATGGGAAGTGAGTTGTGCCCTAATCATAACTTGGGCTCTGGAAGAAACAGGAAAGAATCATCTACCCTGAGCTCTCTGGGGGCTCTACATTTTGCTCGAAGGACGCCATTATTGAGAAAACAGGGTTAGGCCTCCCATTCTCTTACAGTAACAGGACTACATTTTTCTCTCAGGCGAATGATCTGAGGGCTCTCTTCCTTCAAGAATGCGTTGTTAGAACGTCACTGACAGGGTGATGGCATTTTGAATGTGAAGATCTGGACCATGAAGCCTTCCTGTAGCAGGAGTGTCAATTCAGTGCAGGATGTTCGAAAGGCATATTGGTGAGGAAGTTTTTATCACTGAGAGGGCTGCTTGTTTCAATAAGCACTATGCAGGGCACCTGGGTGGCTCAGTTGGTTAAGCGACGGACTCTTGATTTAGGCTCAGGTCATAATCTCCTGGTTCATGAGATGGAGCACTATCGAGCTCAGTGCTGACAGTGCAGAGCCTGCTTGGGATTCTCTCTCTC